TCACACCCTCCATATTGACTTTATAACAGCTGGTGCTGTCCTCTTACTCTTGGCAAGTCTCCGAACTTTTCGCCCCAGTCCAACGGTGCTAAAGTATAGTCTCAAGGGGTTGCCCACAAGCTCATAGAAGATGACGAGTACCGCGACTACTTTATTCCCGCGGGATGCACTATCATCCCAAACGCCTGGTGCGACATCTACGCACCATAGCGAGATGCTGCTGAATGCTACCCTCTAGGGCAATGACTCGAGATCCGACTACCTATCCCGATCCGGATCGTTTCCTGCCCGAACGATTCCTACAGGTCGACGCTGACACGCCAGCACAATTCGACCCCATGAAGCTCATCTTTGGATTCGGAAGGCGGTGCGTCGGTTCTTTCATATGGGCACCTTGTAACGCTGATGCATGATGATGCATGAATCTAGGATCTGCCCGGGGCGCACTTTCGCTGATTCCTATCTGTGGCTGACCGCGGCGCACTTGCTGGCCACCATGGTTGTGTGTAAAGCACGGAACGCAGCAGGAGAAGAGATTACACCCGCAGCAGACTTTGCAGATGGGTTTGTGAGGTGCGTGTTTGCTACTTCACTCCGGGTCAAACTCGACGAAGCCATACATCTGACTGATTTGGGAACCTGGGTGGTTCATTCCTTGCAGCCACCCTTTACCATTCGAATGTGACATCCACCCACGATCGCAGAAAGCGAAGGAGCTCATTGAGTTGTCGAACACAGAAACAGCTGTGTGATAAATTTGGGCTGTCGGATGGCGATTACATTCAAAATGTCTGCCGGAATCTCTCGTACAGGAATCGTCTATGAGCATGTTGTACTACACCTCGTTTGATTACGCATTGAGGTGATGCAGTCAGGACATGCCACCTGTTTTCCCTTTTTAGATTCTTATAAGTAATGCATTAGACGATGATGTTATGCTCAATGAACCCACTTTCCTGCGACATCATAAAGTGTCACGCAGGACTCATCTTGGGTATATCCCACAGCCTCGTCGATCTACAACCAAGGTATAACATGAAAGTCAGAACACACATAGTCACGCAGCATCATCTCCATCGGATGCGAAGATGAGCTCATTGGCCTTGGACGATCTTGGCTTATTCACCATGGCCCACTGTCGTTGCAGTGTATCCGTACGGAACTTCGAGTATAATTATGGCCGCAGACACATAGGCGGGCTGTCATTATGTGGGGAGCGAAAATGTCGCAAGCACTACATCTCTTGCCGTTGTAAATAAAGCTGGCTGGCTCACTGATCAGCGTGGCCAACATTCGTCAAACACACTTTTCCTGAACGGATCCGGCCAGTGATCCTCCACTATCCGTCGAAACTCCTCGCATCCCTGGGTCACACCCCGACTCGCACTCAGCCCGTTTAGACCGGAAACGGACAAGAAGGGATACGGAGCAGAAGAGGAAGGGGACAGAGGACGGAGTAGGGCAGCGGCCAGTACACTGGCAGTCAGGCCCTAGCCTGGGGGGAGGAGCGGGCGGTCAGCAAGGGCAACAAGGGGGAAGCGTACAGTTATTCTCCTGGAATGATCATGACTCCCTGACGACGTCTCCGAACGTGTTGTGGAACCGGTGCGTGCCGTGGACGTGCTGCATGAGGAGGCGGATCGTCCTGGGGTGAGAGAACAGGGCAGGCCTTATCTTCCTCACAGGCAGCGGTATGACGGTTTCCTCCAAGACTCTTACCGCAGGTGAGCACATGAGTCTCGGAGCGGACAAGATTTTGTTGGAAAACACGGATATGATTGTGAGGTCAGCCTGGGATGAATTTTGCATCCGCTATGACTCCATCCAGCCGCGCAAGTGGCCAAACAGCCGGCTTGACTTCCTGATGGCTTGTTCCCTACGAATGATCCGAGCAGACACGTCTGATTTACTCTTGCGATGGTATTCACCATGGCTTCTCTGGACTGTGACTCGTTGCTCGGTACCCTAGAGCTGCACCGCTGTGTGCAGTGCCGACAGACTCCGCTAGAATGGGTACATATATCATTTTGCAAAAGAGGAGCTCTGAGTGGTGCATTGTTGGAGCTCGCAAGGACTGTTCTCTACAACTGACTTTACGATGTACACAATAATCAAGACTGGCTTTCTAGCCGTCCTCCAGTTGTTGCTGTTGGCGCCCAGCCGCCCCCCTTCAACAGCCTTTCCTCCGACCGTGGACTTAGGCTATGCTCAATATCAAGGCGTTGCGGATAGCACTACCAACATTACAAGTTTCCTCGGCATCCGTTATGCCTCACCTCCAGTCGGTGCGTCTAGTGTACGCGCTGTGTTTTCTGCTCCCCACTCACGTTTTGTAGGCAACTTGCGTTGGGCAGAGCCGCAGCCCCCACCGACGTTGTCTGGCGTACAGCAGGCTAAAGAACAGCCGAACGAATGCTACCAAGGTGTTTCCATCGATATTGTCACAGACTCCCTGGGAAAACGCGCTGTGAGCGAATCGGAGGACTGCTTATTCCTCAAGTGAGTATGCCTGACTATCCGTGCGGTTTGAGCGTTTCACTGATGTGGCGGAACAGCGTGTACGTTCCGGGAGATACAGTTGCTGCTGCGACATCTGGTGGTCTCCCTGTTCTCGTTTGGATCCATGGAGGAGGGCATGGATGGACGCGCTACTTGTTGTGTTGTTGAAGGATACTCAGCTTTGCTGCTCTCAGATATGTTGTTGGTTCCGCGAGCATGTTCAATGGCGCGGATTTGATCATGCACTCTGATCGCGGTCTTATTGTGGTGATCATCCAGTATCGACTTGGTCTTTTTGGCTTCTTGGCTGGCAAGGCCATCAAAGCAGGCGGTGCTCTGAATGCTGGGCTTCGTACGTTTCCGTGTTTACTCAAACCGAAACAGCGGGAACCTATGTTTTGTAGTCGATCAAAATTACGCCCTACAATGGGTACAATCACACGTTAGTCTGACCTGTCGCTTCCAGTGGCATACCGATCATATACCTTGGTCATTGTGTAGATCAGCACCTTTGGCGGCGACCCATCGAAAGTTACGATCTGGGGTGAATCCGCAGGTTTGTCGAACACCATCATGTCATCCCACAACGTGCCGCATGGTAACACACCTTTACGTAGGTGCTGGTTCCGTCTTGCAACACCTTGTCGCACATGGCGGCAACACACAGCCACCGCTCTTCAGGGCTGCGATGACGAGCTCGACATTCTTACCGTCTCAATATAACTACAATGATCGCATTCCAGAGGTACGACCACAGGGGTTCACGCATTCAGTAACTTAATGTCTTGAAATAGCTACTGTACAACGACATTGTCGCAGGAGCAGAGTCAGCCATGTTTATCTTCCAACTCTCACAATATCTGACTGTCACACGCAGGTGTGGCTCGAGCTCAGACACTCTGTCCTGCCTTCGCGCCGCCAACGTCAACAGGCTGCAAACATTGAACTTGAATATCATTTCGAAGGCATTTTATGGTACTACCGTCTTTGTTCCCGTCGTCGACGGCACCTTCATCATCGAACGCCCGACTGTCACGATTGCCAGAGGACGCCTCAACACGGTAGGCCCATCCAGCGCAAGGGATCAAGTATTGACCGAATCCTCTATGCAGGAGGTATTTCTTGCGGTGACCAACGTACATGAAGGAAACATCCTTGTTAATAAGTCACTTACAATGAACGTCTCGGACTATGTTTCCACCCTGTTCCCTGATGTCGAACCCTGGCAGGCTGCATTGACAACTCCTCTATACCAGGACCTTGGCACCAATGTTGAGCAAGCTAGCTATGCAATGGGCGAATGTAAAGTTCATATGATGGTTGGGCTTAGCGTGATACTGACCTGACGCACGTTCAAAGCTATCTTCGTCTGCCCTACTTACTATCTCCTTCACGCTCTGGGCACCAAGGCCTGGAAGGTAAGCTTCAAGCTCATCGGCGTTCATCATTCTCGACGAGCAATTTCCAGGGCGAATTCGCTATCCCACCTGCATTTCATGGCATGGATCTCGCTTATTACTTCACGTCGTGAGTGTCCTGTACTTGGATCCGCAACTGCTTCCCAATTCCTCCCGCAGGCATAGCCCTGCATACGACAACTCGGAGTTCATCACCGCCTTCTCTAACGGGTTCTTGGCCACTGCCATTTCGATGGACCCCAACGCCAAGTACAACTCTAGCAACATCACTCCTAATTGGAATGTTTGGGCACCTGGGCACACGGAAATGATGTTCAACAAGACGGAGGGGGGTGCACCGATTGTGTACCCCTACTCGACGGACGATGCGCTGCTCGAACGTTGCCAGTGAGTGTCTGAAGCTCGTCTACTCTCTCGAAGACGCTCACTGTACATATATAGGTATTGGCTTAGCATCTCCGCGAATACGGCACAGTAGGCCCTAGGGCGATGCTGGATGGCGGCTGGAGGAGGTTGGGCTGTGGATATCATTTGCAACGCAAGTCATAGGATCTTGTCTCATAATCCTAATCGATTATGATATAAGACACTAACGTCAATTGGCCAATATTTTAGTATTTTCCTCAGGAGCCAAACATGGCGTAAGACTTCGAAGCAGTTGGCCGCGCCTTCGTATCTATCCTCAGCATCATCAACAGAGGACCGAACTCGGCGATGTCATTCACCGCCGTCCACCTTGCATAACAATCTAGCTGTGCTTTCCATTCCACAATCGCTCTCGTCTTAGATGTCGCTGGAGCTGCGCGGGCTCGTGTCTAGATAGACTAGTGAGAGAGAAGGAAGACGTCGGAAACATGCTGCCACTCAGTCGTTCGAAGGGCTCGCTGGCTTCTCAGTGCATGTCCTATTCTCGAGAGATTTCGTCGCACAGTTTGTCCATCTTAATCAGCAGGGCGATGCTGGGAGCCGCGAAGTGGGATATATGCGCCTCGAGACCGAACTTGTACCACTGCCAATTGTCAGCTAACGGGGCGCTGCAACCAAAGCTAGCCAGTTACTGAGCCGACACGTACAACTGTCTATCGTCAGCCAACCGACCTAGAGTACCAGAATGAGAAACCGAAGACTCGATGCAAATCGAATGAACAACTGAAAAAAGAAGTCGAATAGAACTAGTCGACCTGGAGAAAGCTGTGGGACATCCATGGAGGGCCGCAGACATGCTTTATACACATCGATGAGACAACTCAGAGGGCGTAGCTAGTGGTAGTGCCACATTAATCCAGCATTATCGACTAACTAATTCGCACGGACGCAGATGTACGGTCCCTGCGAACAGCGAAGGTTAATTGAGCGCATCTTACGTCCGCAGCGAGCAAAACGAGTGGACAACAAATTGGCGTATTAGACGGCAAGTATTCCTGCCCGGGTCCCTACAGTCCTCTACGAGATGTTTTCATACCAAAACTTACCACTTTCCTGGAGAGCCGGTGTTAGTAATGTTGCGGTCAGAATCCGATATCTAGACTCGGTACGTTCCCCCGCGTGCAGCTCGATACCTTCGGAGAACACAAAATGATGGCGTTTGACATCGACACAGGGCCCTCACTATCCGGTCTGCATTGGTAGCGAGGCTGAACGACGCTAGTGCAGTCGACAAGACACAGCGGGCGACAAGAAGAAAACAGTGAGATCTCATTCCCCGTGCCGCTCTCTTTGAGCCAATGACGAGCTGATGGTTAGAAACGGGCTTCAAGAGCAAGGTTAGATTACAACTTATTTTAGTAAAAACATTCTAGGCGTTGTAAATATACAATGCAGTAGTCTACTATACACTCACCATCCTGCCTTCATTTCGGGTGACACGATCTCACGGGCGTCAAGGCGCATAACGAGTTCCGTACACTCCTTCCTGAATAGCTTTGATTTCTAAAACGACGAGAAGTGAGTTTTTGAAATCGGAAAAGGGTATACACAGATGCTGACGTAGAGCCAGATGCTTTGAGTGAAAGCGACACATAGCAAGATTACCTGTGCCAAGGTGTTGAATATAACATTCAAGCATTCAAAAATGTAGAGATATACCTGTCATGAACCAAAAGTTGGGCACGCCCAAGTAGCGCCAAGCGCCATATGCCTCGCCTTCTTCGTTCAGATCCCATATTTGTGACATTGTGGATCCAAGATCTTCTCCAACAAGCCTGCAAATCGCAGCTCGCGCACCATCGAAGCTAGTCGTTGCGTGGCGCACTCAGAACAACTCCATGCCGACGACTGCGATGCTCACCCTGTGGCAAACAGGACGACGTCGACGTCTAATTCACTGCCATCCGTGAACAAGAGACCAGTCTTGGTGAAACGCTCGATCTGGCTGTCATTCTTCAACTTGATTTGGCCATCTATGATCTTCTGGCAGCTGCCGACATCTTTCCACCATGTCAGCCCGTGCGATGACCATCAATGGGCCCATAGCAACTCACCTAGGTAATAGCCTCCACCACGAGTCATAGCATTATACAAAAAACCAGATCCGTCCTGGCCAAAGTTCAGCTTAAAACCTGCCTTCTTCAATCCCTCCAGTGTCTGCCTGTAGACTCAGCTACTCAGCCCGGATTGGTAGTCGCAACAAGGTGGCAACTCACTTGTCTGCTTCTGCAATCTCCGATGTAAGGCGTACGTGCATCTCCTTCAGCATGAACGCGGGTAGCGAGGTGTGCACACGGTCGGAAACTTCAGTAGGACCTACACCTTCCCAGAACGTGTCTGGATCAGACGAAATCAGACATCTGCCACCACAGGAACCAAGCTGTCGATACAACATACCTTTGAATAGACGAGGCATTCCTTCCTTCGTCGACATAATATAAGTTGAGCTTCTCTGGAACAGAGTCACATCTTCATTGTCGTCACATGAATCTACCTTATACCATCACAGTGAAATCCAGTCAACGCACCTACGCCATGATCGACATAATCGGCAGCTATGTCATGGGCTGTGCTGTGGCATCAGAAAACAGGCGACCAGGCATATGCTCATTACGACATACCTGATGTACAAGCGCCAACAACGAGCACTTTCTGTCCTACATGATCTCTGGCTGACTTGTGCTGGGTCGAGTGCAACACCTGACCTTGGAAACCCTCCTGTAATAAGGTCGTCAGTGACCAAAATCCAGTCACATGTGAACATATTTACCTGACCAGGTATCTTTGGCACCTTAGGCACACCACCTCCAAATCCAACCGCCATTATAACATGATCGGGGTGAAAAATCCGCTCCGTTCCATCGCCCTTCCTCACGACCACCTTCCACTTGCCTCCCTTCGGCTCAGCATGTATTACAGTCGCTGACGTCCAGACATTGAGTTCCATGGCTTCGGCATAGTATTCGAGCCAATCTGCGAGCTGGAAGATCATATCAATATGATATAACCACATATCCATACAACTGACCTTCTGTGCTGGCGTATAGACAGGCCACGAAGGCGGAAACCTACAGAATAGACTTGAGAAGAGCAGCAAGGGGAAGCATGCGACAAACTCTTACGGCATATAGGGCAGGTGATCGTACCCTGTGTAATAGAGCATTGAGTGAACAGCGTTGTAGTATGAGAAGCGACTTACAAACAGGGTCATGAAGGCAAAGTGCCTCGTACCGGAATCTCCACTGGTCGCCAATCCGGCCCTGTCGTTCTATCACAAGAGT